AGCAAATGAAACAGCAGGCTCTTGACAGGTAAATTATTACAAAGTTAACAGGAACTCGGAGCCTTCACTGTTCTGGCCAAGTCCATGTTCTGAAACACCATGAGGAAAACAAAAATGAGGAAAATTAAAATGTACACTGGCCTTGGGTCAATGTGAAAGCAACAGTTTTAATTTAGCACTTGAATTAACTATTACAGAAAAAGTCATACACATCAGTGGGTGACAATCCTAGACACTCAGGATCCTGAAAAAAATAAATAAATAAAAGAAACAAGCCTTGAAACTCCAAAAACTGGATATGAAAGAATGGAAGGAAGGAAAAGAAGAGGCAAAGTGAGAGGAGGAAGAGAGAGGCCAGATGAACTGCATAAATCTATCAGGTAAGCACTGCAGGGAAAATTAAAATGTCACTCAGCCAAAGGGAAGAATAGTTTTCTCATTTAAAAAAAAAATACGGTTTATATCATACCTCAGAAATTTAAAAAAATCTTACTGTAAAAAACCCCAAAATTTAAAGTCATATTGCTCCTAAAAGAGAATATAACCATATAACCACAAGCCAAAAGAAACAGTTGAGTGAGATGACTTGTTTTAAAGTCCAGTGTAGTGCTGGGATTCTTCCATCTCCCAACCGTGAGGACCATACACCAAGGATAAGGTCAACTAAAATCCAAAAGTGACTACACCTGGAAGTTTCCTGGGTTTTCCAGGTTCACATCGGCAATCCCATTCCAGCTGTAGAGAGATGCTATGTGGTTCAATAACTGCCCGGTAAAGAAACGCACCTTCTGGGTTTTTGTGATATTTTTATTGTGAACTACCTGAAAATGATAATAAAACAAATAACGTTCAAGGAATTCAATTATTTTTTAAATACTGTTTCTTGTTTTCTCATCATTATAAAACCAATGCATGCTAACGGCAGAAAACTTGGTCAAAAAAAAAGAAAAAGTTACAGAGAAAACCAAAATTCACCAATATTCCTAGAATACCCAGTTATCATTTTGGTATATTTCCTTTCAGCCCCCACCCATACTTCACCGCCAACACACACAATATACATGTATATGTCTTGGTTATTTATTTATTTATTTTTGCCTGAGATTGTGATTACATATGGTTTTGTGTCTGCTTTTACTTATATGGTGTGAGCTTTTTCCTTATTATTAAAAATTCCTTTAGAAAATCGTTCTGGAGGGCTAAATACCATTCCGTTTTATGAACAGGATAACTTATTTAACCATTCCCCTGGTGTTTACAATTAGGTTGTTTCCAAATGCTGGCTGTTCTTCATAAAGCCATGATCAATACTCTCGGATAGTCTTCACTGCATCTCTGACGATGGACTTGGCACAGGTTCTTACAAATGGAACTGTGTGGCACAAGTTCTCAGCTCCACCCAAACCTAGCCCAGAATCTCTGGGGGTGTGGCCCAGATATATGCACTTCAAATACATTCCCCAGTTGGTTCAGAAGCAATCCCTCAGTTCAGAACAACCACATGGTCCATGCGCATATTCAAAACCTTGACACATATTGCCAGAACTGCTGTCTTCCACAGAGGCTGTAACTAATACTTCCTCCAGGAAAGTACCTTATTCCAGATATCTTTACTAGTTTTGAGTATCACTGGTTTAAAGAGTCAATCCTATTTTGGTAGGTGAAAAAACCTGTATGTCATTATTTGCATTACCTTAAATCAGGGTTTCTCAACCACAGCTCTAGTGACATTTTGGCCAGATAATTGCTGTGGGGGCTGTGCTGTGTACTGCAGGATGTTTAGCAGCATCTAAACATACCTGGTCTCTATCCACGAGATGCCAGTTGCACCTCCCCAGTTATAACAACCAAAAAATGTCTCCAAACATTGCCAAATGTCCCATGGAGGGCAAAAAGGCCTCCAGTTGACATCCAGTTTTCAAATACCATGAAAGGAAAGCATTTTCACATGGACTTTTGATAACTTTTCATGTTGGGAGTGTCATAGTTTCTCTACTTCATCATTTAAGGTGCTTCCATATTAAAGACAGTGATCCTTTAAGCAAGTTTTTACATGTTTATAAGGTGCTTGTAAAAGGCAGAATATGGAACATGACACAAAATAACATTTTGCTAGATGTGTAAATGAAGTATTATTTATAATTTACAGCTCACAATTATTACACTACTTATTGTGAAATGCTGATTAACAGTCTTCCTGCTACCTTAATAAAACAGCAGCCTTGCCTGAGCATCAGCGGCTGCTTCATCTGTTCTTTAACTTTCTGGCCAGGATTTGCTCGTCACCAAGAAAGAGTTTCTGCTTAAGACACAGTTTTCCATTCAACCTAAATTAACTATAACCTATATAAGATATTATAGCCCTAGAATCCTATAAAATGCTGGGAAATATTTCTTCATTCACATAGAAAGAACCAATGACAGAAATGCTGATCACCAAACACGTACCTTTGTTTTCAGGGTAGATAACAAAATATTGATGGTAGAAATCCTATCTTCCTTTATGCCTGAGCTAAAGATGCAAGGGATAAATTCTGAAAGTAAAAGTTTCAAAGCATTAAACTCAAAAGTATTTTGACCTTGATCATGCCCCCATTCGTCCTCCCACCCTATTTCCCTTCCCATCCCCTCACCCCCTCCCCAACTGCTCTGCCATATCTTAGAATGTAAAAACATAATAAAATTAATAAATTAAAAAAAATTTTTTAAAGTATTTTGAAAATGAGAACAGATGAGAGAACACTGCTGTTTAAATTGTACAGCAAACAATACAATTTCCTTTTTTCTTTTTTAATTTTGTCTCTCTTAATTATTCAAGTTCACAGTAGGAAACCAAGACTATCTAAAGGTGAAGACAGAACTTTTTAAGAAGCTCAGTAGTTACTTAGTTGTTTCACCTTCCTTTTCTCACATTAAGTAAAATTAACTTAAGACTGACTGAGGGCCGGCCTATGGCTCACTTGGGAGAGCGTGGTGCTGACAACACCAAGTCAAGGGTTAAGATCCCCTTACCGTCGGGCCGAGCCCGTGGCACACTCGGGAGAGTGCGGCGCTGGGAGCACAGCAGCGCTCCCACCGCGGGTTCGGATCCTATATAGGGATGACCAGTGCGCTCACAGCGCTCACTGGCTGAGTGCGGTGCAGCCGGTCTCAAAAACGACAAAAAAAAAAAAGATCCCCTTACCGTCATCTTAAAAAAAAAAAGACTGTTTGAAAGAGAATGCAAGGTATGAGAATGCATTCCAGGTGACTTAAAAGTCTTCTAAGATTTCTCAGAAGAAATTGCTTAGACTTGCTCAAAAATACATTTAAAATAATGGACATCATTTTATTGGCTGGTGACAGAATTTTGTGTAATTTTGTTTACTTTTTGCTTTCTCCTACTTTTTGATTCTCAGGGAAACAGCCACCAGAGCTTGATGCTATATCTTTACATCAAAGCACTGCTGACACTGGGCAGAAGCACCAAAGCACTCACAATTTTACTTGCTCCATATATGCTTACTGGGCACACAAATTCCACAAAAGCAAATCCATCATTCTTAAAAAAAGAAAAATCAGAAAATACAAAACCAAGAAGAATAAAATTTAAAATCAACCATAACCCCACTACCCAGAGTTAAGACTGTTAAACTCCGAGTTATCTGTTAACCTTCTGATATATCCATACTGTTCTATTTAACTTTTAGTAAAATGGGATCATACTTGACAGTTTTATAACTGAGTTTATGCCCAATGATATGTTGCTAAAAAACTTTTGTGTCATTAAATATATTTCTATGTCATTTTTAATAGGTGCATTCCATCTTAGGACTATCTTCAGTTTGCTCAATCCCTTACCAGTGGAAAGTTACAAGTCCAATTTTCAGCTAATAGGAAAACATATGCCATAAAAAACCCTCCATTCACATCCTTAATTACTTCCTTAGGATAAATGACTAAACATGGAGTTGCTGGATCAAGCACTTTAAAAGTTTTGATGCATACATCCAAATTGCCCAGCAGAATTATTATACTGAAGTCAATCCCTGCCCCCTTCAGTGATGTGAATGAGTACCCACTGTCCCTTAATAAAAGGCTGGGAAACTGAGATGAGTGAAGAGAATTTTAAAGAAACTACCAGCCCTGGCAGCAGCAGGGCATCCTGAAATTAGTACCTGCCAGTAAGCAGGGGTGAAAAATCTGTAGGCTAAATCACGCAAAGAGAATGCACCTCCTCTCCCATGTGGTTCTAGCGCAGCAGTGATGAGGTCCTTTACACAGACCAGGCTGATGACATATAGGGGGGCCACCACCCACACCATTCTATTAATAGCCCCGGCAGTCACATTCTGGAGGAAGCTCAGGTCTCCCACCCTGGGGGAGGTGGGAGCGGGGCTGGAGACCTGATCACATGAGGCTATAGCACCAGAGTTCCAGCCAGGACATGGAACTGCTCCTCACCTCCAGACAGGGCATGATCCTGGGGAATCTCACTGAGCAACGGCCATATACTAAGCTAAGTGCTGTCATTTACCATCTCAATGAATCTCTTGATAAAATGCAAGTGGCCTCAATAGACAAAACTATGCCAAGCCTCGTTCTAGGGAGACAGCTACCAGAAGATGGTCAAGTTACAATTCTCTGAAGCCCCATTACTGATATTCTGGTAATATGGGGCAGAGTACCAAAGTAATTAGACTTCATTTTTAAAAACACAATTACTAAGGAAAGCCAGCTAGCTAAGGTGATGAATCTGTGTACATTCTGGAGCCATAAAGCCTCCTTTGTTTGCCAAGCTGCCTCTCAGGTTTGCATTTATCCTCTGTTAGGGAATTGCTCAGCATTCCAGGTGGCTTAACAGGAATACCTCTGTTCATTCTGACCACTGATATCAAAATGGCACTGACCAAGGCTTATCACTCCCCCTACACACACACCCTTCATTCCAGTGCATACAGCAGCTGCACAGGCTGCAGGGTTTTTTCAACCTGGAAGAAACGATTTGCCGTAGGTTTTTCAAAATAATAGCAAATGGGTGTCCTAAGGGACAAAAGAAAGCACCTACCTTTCACCTCCAACACCTGCACTATAGTGCTGTCATCGCCAGCAATTAAAAAGGAAAGGACAAACTGAATGTAGGCCAGCCGAACGTCATGCACTCCCTGGAGAACAAAGAGACCCACATGTCACATGCACATTACACAGAACCAAAGGAACAGGAACACAACTCCCGTCTCAACATCACCAGCCTTCCAGTCTCGTCCTGTCATCAGGGGATGGAAGTCTGAAACCAATACTCACTCTTTATGGAAAGCAAAAGTTTTCTCTGCTCTTTCCCCCCTCAATATTCTCTACTTTTCTTTCTTTTTCAAGCCCTATTCTCAATACAAAAGTATGGGTAACAAATAGTTGTGGCCCTTCCCCGACTATACTACATAAATTTCTTTATTGTATGGACCACTCTGGTGTGGAGCAAGAGACTATCAAGCCACCTAGACCCACCTCCTCTCTCTTGCTGATGGAAATTATCTATGTTTTCAAAAATCCAGAGCTAATGGAAAGACTGCTGCTGCTTTTGATGAGACATCAATGTGGTAATGTCTATTTCTTATTAGATATTATAAATAAGTTATAAACTCACACCAGGAATCAAAGCACAGATGCTATCATGTTACGAGCTCTGCTAGCTCATCTTCCCAGTACTGTAATCCACACTGTCCCACTGGTCTTAGCCATGGCCCAAGGCAGCAGCTGTTCTCAGTGAGGGCCCAAAGGCCATGACCAGAAGCCAACATGTCTGAGGAAATCACTATAGCCATCTGATCAATTTTCCCTCCCAGTATCATTAAAACAAAGCCTTGTCTCACCATCCCTTGTTTTACATCTAAGAAACCCAAGGCACGTGGTCATGCAGGACTCTCAGCCATTCCAGAACTACTAGCAAGTGTGCTTAGATCCTCTACTGCTTAACCAAAAACTTTTCCCTACTTCCCAGTTATTCCAAAGGTACCTTAATTCACTGCCAAAAAATAAGTTAATATGACAGAGAATTACTGCCCTGAATGCCTGGAAAGATTCAACAGTAGTCTCGGCCTTCCGGATAGTTCTGTTCTACTAAGTAGTAGTAGCAATAGAGGTGGCAGCAGTAGCAGCAATCATGATGATGATAAAACGATGTTTACTGAGCACTTACTATGTGCCAGGCGCTACGCCAAATGCTGCACATCTGTTATCTCATTTACTCCTCGGAGCAACCTGAGGCACAGATGCTTACCATACCCATTTTACCATGTGGAAACTGAGGCCTTGAAAATTAACTCAGTCACACAGCTGCTAAGTAAGTTAAGTACCAGAATCAGGATAATAAGAATGATTGTACAAACACACTGCTGTAAGTTCAACTACAGAGAAGTTCTTCCTTCTCAGGGCTCCCATGGCATTCTCATTTCACTTTTTCTCAAGGTGCAAGGACCGAACTTGGCATCATTTAGGTCTCTGTGCAAGTACTTAACTAATTCCATCTTGTTTTGTTGGATATATGCTTCTTTCGGAGAAACGAAAGGATAGCCAACAGTGCTCTCTAACATCTGGGCGAAGACCTTGTACATTCATCGTATTTACTGAGTTTACCTCCACTCATGTCACACAGCATTTCAGCAAGACTGTATGAGACCAATGCTGGTTTATTCCAAATATATGGAGAACTTCAACTGTCCTCTCTGTCCTGGGGACCTGTCTGTGAGCCTCTTCACAGCACAGAGTTTGGGACGACAACTAGTGTTGAGAATCAGCTGCATTTCCTTAGTGTTGGCAATGCTCCAGTGCCATCACTCACCAATTCAGTGTTTATAAAACACCCACTACAGCAAGATGCCATAATCTCAGGCTGACAGATGATGCAAAGATGACTAACATACCATCCCTGTCCTCAGGAAGCTTAAAGTAACAACTGTTCCCAAGCCATTTAGATGCCCCATCGTTCAAATTAGCATGTCACCTACTTCAAACACAGTTAATTTGTCATCTTGGTCTACACATGCCTTGTGTTTCAAATGAATGCTGGTAAAATGCTAAATCTTGCCTGGTAAAATTATATTAGATTTTGTCCTTTCCCTGCTAATGGAAAGATCCCACAATTTTTCTTTTTTCTTTTTTAGTATGCTGAATAGTATTGGGAGTGAGGAGCCTGGAATGCTGATCTCAGTTATCTGCCATTCTGGATCTTTCCATCTTGCTTGTACACAGTGGAGGTGCACTATATCTTCTTGTGGATCCCTCCAGCAATAAATTTCTAAATGAAAAGGAATTTAGTTACCACCTCCTGGCTCCCATCTTATATATCTCAGACAAGCCCAAATTTCAGCTTCCTGACATTGTGGAGGAACTAAGTGAGATTCCCAACAACCAGCATCTACCCATTCCAGGCTCGCCACCACATGGCTCCTACTCAGCCACCTGGACCTCTGCCTGCCCTGCCCCATCTCCAGCACACACCATCGAAAGCATCCTACTCCCACTGAAAGACGGCCACATGCCTACTCCTTGTTCCTTCCCTGGGACCTCACAGGGTTATTATCCCAGGAAGAAAACATCCTGAACTCTTCAGGGCTTATTCTGCAAAATGCTGTCTAAAATAGACCAAAACATATTTGGTAAAACTGCTCTTTGGCACAGGATTTTAACAATGCTTTCTTTGGCTGGATAAATATATCCATAGTCCTCTTTCTTCATGAGGCTTAAGAATTCCCTCCAAAATGTTAAAATACACTCATTTTAAAAAATCACTACCAGCATCTTCAAAAACTAATGGCAAGAAAAAAAGGCAAGAGATAGAGTGGGCAGAAGAACTCAAGATTCAAAAAAAAATGCAGAGATTTAAGAAACATATCAATCAAATATAATGTGTAGACCTTGTTTGGATCCTGATCTGAATCACAAAATGTAAGAACATTTTTGAGACAATCAGGAAAAACCAAGAACTGGGTATTAGATGATATTGAGAAATAAATTTATAGTGTTAGGTACAATAATGGTACTGTGGTTTTGTTCTTTAAAAGGTCTTTTTCTGTTCAGAGTACACACTGAAATATTTATGGTGAAATATGATTCATGTCTGGGATTTATTTGCTATAATAGACTGCAGGATCTGCTATGATAGACTGCTTCAAAACAAACTGAAAAGGTGGGAGGCATGACAGTGGCTGAAGCTGAATGACAGGTACATGGAGTTCCTTGTGCTGCTGTATGTTTGAATACCCCTGATATTTCCTGTATTATAAAAAAAAATAGGCCGGCCTGTGGCTCACTCGGTAGAGTGCGGTGCTGATAACACCAAGGCCACGGGTTCGGATCCTATATAGGGATGGCCGGTTTGCTCACTGGCTGAGCATGGTGCTGACAACACCAAGCCAAGGGTTGAGATCCCCTTACCGGTCATCTTTAAAAAATAAAAATAAAAAAAATAAAAAATAAATAAATAAATAAATAAAAATAATTTAAGGTCTGGACACCATTTTCTACAACATACAAAGTATTTATAGTATTTGATACAGAAGGTTACAAAAGGAAAAACACTTGTAACTCGATAATAACTCCCATATTATAGATCCCGGAGAGGCAAAATAACCTGCCCTGAGATGAAACAACCTGTGTGCAGCCCTGTAGCCAGGGTTCAGGAAGGGAAGACCTGATGGGGCTTTCTGACGTTGTCTGGTCTTAGTGGGTGGCCTGGGCACTTAAACTCAGATGGCTGAGATCAAGGAAGGCAGGGGTGGGAAGGAAGGAGGGTATCTGATAATTTCTGCCAGGCTCACTGCCAGCTAAGACCAAAGTACTGTGATATTTGCCCTAGTGTGCAAATAGCACGTGCATTCTTTTTATTAGAAATGCACTTAAATGTCAGGAGCCATTACTCATTGAATGGAATTTGTTGACATGTTAATAAAGCACAGTATCTAAGAGACACTAAAACCTGGAATTTTTTTCATCAGAGAATATTATTTGTAATTCCAGTAAAACACTCAACACCAGGCCAATCTCACAAAGCAGTAAAAGTTACTTGGTGTTATTACTGTTAACCCTTCAGTCTGTTATCTGGCAATGCAGAAATCCCAGGAATATCAAGAGAACAAGGCAACATATAGTTACAGAAGTGAATTATTCTAATGTGGTTCTCCACCACCACAGACAAGGGCTGGTACTTTCCGCTCAGGAAAAGGGTGAGAACTCCGGCTGTGACTGTTCACAGCACTGGAGCACCAGCAGGAGAAATGATCTGGCAAGCAGATGTGGCATTTCGACAACCTTAGCTGCACATGCATTGGGAGGAGGGCCTCTCTCAAGCTCATGAGTCCTAAAACTGTACTTTCTCTCCAAGAACCTTTCCAAACCTAAGTGCAACTTCTAGATCCACCAGGGTTTTTTGTTTTTTGTTTCTTGCAGCTCTACTAAAAACCAACCATTCACACTCCCATTCTCTTTGGCACAATCCAGCCTCTACTTCTTTCATTACAACAGTTCTAATTGGGAGGCGCACATCACTTATTAAAGAGCCATAAAAGTCTTCTTTGAGGATGTCGCTGGCTTAAAAGTTCTAAGGGTTTTCTCCAAAGTGTAAAGAACTGGAATAGAGGACAGGGACAAGCTTCGCGGCTATGAAGCACATGGAGGCTATTTCGTTTATTCAGTAGAGAAGATGCTCACAAGCTAAGTCACAGCCAGGAACGTGCTGCTCTGCTGAGTACCCGCCCTCCTTCCCCCGCACTAAAGTATCCTTGGATGTCCCCACTGTGTAGGCTCTGCAGGTGGATGGACCCATCACCAGCCAGAGGTGAAGTCCCTCCTCACAGACAGAAGCCAGTTGCTAATGAGGCATACACTCCCAAGTGCCAAAGGCAGAGGGAGGAAAAACAGCCACTACAGCCCTCCAAAGGGAAGAGACACACAGAAGAGGGACAACACACTTGGAATTCTCACCTTTGAATCCCTTTTGGTCACCAGGGTGTACAAGGTCTTTTTATTCAAATCAAAATGGCTGCAGACATCCCTGGCAGCTTCAGGACCCTGGGTCACCATGGCGGCCATCAGGTTCAGGCAGGCTCGAGCCACCCTGCACAGAAACACAAGGAATCAGACATATCAGAACAGTGGAAGCACAAAGCCACCTCACCACAAAGGCAACTGCATACTTGGTTGTACGATTTGCTATTCCCAAACCAGGAAAAGGAAGGAAGGAGATACAGAGACATGATCTTTATTTTAAAAAAAAAAAAAAATCTAAAAACCGAGACCAAGGAACAAGAATCCAAAAACACAAGCTATAAAGAGGATGACAATGTCTCTTGAGTAAACCTTCATGTGACTGAGTGACACATCTCAGTCCCTGTGTGTACAGGACACAGAGGAAGACTTCTTCATGGACAGCTCCAAAGTGAACTCCTAGCTGCCTTTCCATTCTATGGTTTCCCAGAATCCATGGTTTACTGAGCACCAGCTACCTACAGGCATCATTCTAGGTGCTGAGAAGGTGGCATTTTATAAGAAGGGCAAGGCCCCTGCCACATGCGCTTTGCATGCTAATGGAGGGAGACAGTCAACAGGAAGATATGGAATATTATGCAACCTCACAATTGCACAAATTGATATTTTTCTCTATGGAGAAAAATAAAGCAGGTGAAAGGGCCAGGAAAGGACAGCAGGAATGCTACTGGATGTAGGACAGTCAACAAAGGCCCTGCTGAGGTGACACTTTTGCAAAGTCCTGAAGGCTGAGAGACAGCTCAAGACTCTCTGGGAGAAGAGCTATCAAGGCAGAAGGAATAGGCAAAGGAAAGGCAAGTCTGAGTGTTCCAGAGCATCAAGGAAAGCAGCGGGGCTGGAGCAAGAGGGATAAGTGGGAGGAGAGAAGTCAGCGACAGCCAGGGACTGGTCCACAGAGGGAGGAGGGGCAGAGACCCAGCTGCAAAAGCCTTGGAAGCAGCTCAGCCCTTTTATGAGCAAAGGTAACGGTCAGATGCACTCACGCAGAGCCAAATGCAGACCAAACCCAAAGGCTAGTCCTTTGCCACACAAAAGCAGCAACTTACCTGTAACCCGAGGCATACAGGGACTCACAAATGAGCTTCATGTGGTTGTTCAGTAGCTTTTTCACAATGTTGGTTCCCACAACATGGAAATGTGAAAGATCACCGGCTGTCCTCAACAATATGGCCTCGAAAACTTGAAATATTAATAGCATCTGCAAAGACAGATTTGAAACACTTATGAATCATCTGATTTCTTTCCCTCCTGCACACACATGCTCCTCTTGTCCTAGCTGTAGTTACTTGCAGGCTTAATACCTTCATCGTGCAGGAGTAGGCCTGCCCAGATCCTGAGCCCGAGGTGATAAAGGCAAAGGTGACAGCTCAGCAGGCTGACTTGCCAGGACCCAGGCCCTGGACTTAGTCTTGCTCCCAGTGTAGGGAAGCAGAGAACAGTTTGCTTGACCTGGCCAGTTAGCTCACTTGGGAGAGCATGATGCTGTTAACACCAAGGTCAAGGATTCAGATTCCTGTACTGGCCAGCTGCCAAAAAAAAAAGATGAAATGAAAGAAGAAAGTTCTATTTATGAGAACTGCTCTGGGGATATTCAGGTCTACAGCTTTATAGCAAAACCTCTGAGATTTTAACAGGTTCATATCATAAATATCAAATTTTTAACCTGTTTGGAACCAGCAGACAATAATCAATTCAGTAAGTGTTCTGAGTCTGTGATTACAGTTTTTACCTGCTTCCCTTGTTAAAACAAACCATGTTGGAAACAAGTACATTATATTAAGAATTTATGATCCTTCCTTCTAATATTCACCAATGCTAATAAGAAGTTAGCGTTTTCCTCTAAAATACTTTGAAAGGCCATAAAGACAAAAATGAACTTATTCCTATAGCATAGGGACAACGCATCATTTTCTGCTGAAAGTTGGTAATGCCTTGGAAATTCCTATCATATTTCTCTTCGTCAAGCTTAACACAACAGTAGCATTAACTTTCTTCTCTTCTTCAAGCCAGGTAAGGAATAACATACTTCACTTTCAGGCCGCTTCTCTCCACTCAGGAGCTGGAAAATTTCTGCACACTCAACAGAAATCTTTATATACCCTTCCACAACATCATACACATCTTCTCGTGGTAGCTTCTTGGCAGCAGAGACAAATGCTTCCAAGGCTGAAACAAGAGTTATGTTCATATTATGTTTACAAGAACCATATCCTTGGAAACAATCACAGCCACTACCGTGACCTACTTTCCCTTTTCTGTGACCCTCCCCAACCTACCTAAACAGCCACAGAAGCTACTATGAATGCTATGGACTCAATTATTTCCCCCCAAAATTCATCTGTTGAAGCCCTAACCCCTAATGAGACTGAATTTGGAGATAGGGCCTTTTAGGAGGTAATTAAGGTTAAATGATGTCATAAAGGTGGGGCCCTGATCCAGTAGAACTGGTGTCCTTCTAAGAAGAGGAAGAGACACCAGAGAGCTCTCTGTGTGTGTGGACAGAGGAAAGGCCATGTGAGGACACGTGAGAAGACAGCTGTCTGAAAGCCAGGAAGAGAGCTCTCAGCAGGATCCACCTATGCTGGCACCTTGGTCTTGGACTTCTGGACTTCAGAACTGTGGGAAAATAAATTTCTGCTGTTTAAGCCACCCAGTCTATGGTATTTTTTATGGCGGCCCAAGCAGATTAATCTGTATAACATTACAAAAACACCAAGACATGATGAAGGCAGTACAGGAATGAAACAAAGAGAGAACCAATATAACTCACAGGTTTGAATCCTGGCTCTAGCAATTACTTACCTAGACTCCCTCTTAGCTTTTGTTCCTTCATCTATAAAATGTGGATAATAAAAATGTCACATAACATGGTAATGAAACATTACCAAAAGCATTACCTATATTACATCAACTAATTCTCACTGCAAACCTCTGCCCTAGGACTAGTTTTTTTTCCTATTTTATGGATGAGAAAACTGAGGCCCTAGGGTACATAGCAAGTAAGTGGCAGAGCCAGGACTCAAATCCAGGCCGTCTGGCTCCAGGGCCCATGTTCTCCCTTCAAAAGCTGGGCTATCCTGCACACTCAACAGAACTGACACCTGCTGTTTTAAATGTGATGGGGGATGCAGTGTCGTGCATTCCTGGCCTGCCGTCAGCACCAGGAACTTCAGCTAACATTGGCGCTCTTCACAAGCCCAAAGAAGTGCATCCTACAGGCTTATTTCCCTATGAAGCCACCCCAGAAGTTCTCACCTTAAAAATCCACCCTCCCATCAGTGTGAGAATTCTATTACACTTCTTCTAATTAATGCAATCCCCACTGATAGCTGAATACCCACTACAGCCCCCCACCCCACCAACTGGGAGCCACCTGTGTGCCTGCTAACCTCAGAACTCTTCCTTCAAAATTTGGGTTCTACAAAACTGTCTCTCTGGTTCTACTCTTTGGTCCACACTACTCAAAACTCGGGAGGCAGGACATGGCAGGGGGTTGGAAGCCACATAAAAGCAAAGGCTAAAATGCACACATCTTATTGGAGCTTTAATCTTTTCTGGGTGGGGGGGGGGACTTAATCTTATCTTAAAAAAGGGAGGAAAGGACTAAACATTTAAATCAAAACAGTCATTACCAATGAAGTAAAATGCAAAATACCAATGGTCTTTTAAGAAATACACAAGTTTTCATATAAATATGGGGGGGGGATCTGTTTTAGGGAGTGCTCCAACTTCTCCAGGAAATCCTTCCTTCTCTGCCTTGGGGCTACATGTAATGGGCTAATCTTTCTTTCCCATACCAGCTACCATCACCAGAGTCTGCACCTCTGAAGGTCAGATTCTTCCTTCAACTTCTCTCCAGAGATTACAGTTTCAAGATCCTTCAGTGTTCAGATCAGACTCTAGGTCCCCTTGAAGCATGAGGCCCAGAATAGGAATTGGTACTGCAGTCAGGTCTACCAGCTGAGCAGAGCAGATCAACACATCTTTCTTCCTGGACAGCAAGTCTATATGTCTCTGATTCCAGTCCTGATGCACACAGGGTGCTATTAAGTAACATCTACCTAGGTCTGTACACGTGTGGTCAGATTTGGGGACCCCTGAGCAAGACCTTATACTAAGAACACACCAGGTAAGAGTGTAAACTTTGGAGCCATGCATCCCAGCTTGGCCATTTACTAGCTGCATGGTACTAAGTAAATCACTGAACTCTAAGCTTTGGGTTCTTTATCTGTAAAATGAGAACAGGAGCAGGACCTACCTAACAGGGTTTGTGTAAGGTGTAAAAGGGCTAATTTACATGGAAATCGTCTAGCATCACACTAGCCTCAAAAAAAAAAAAAGCCTCCAACTGTCCTCAGCAGTGTATTTCTGGTCACATTCAGCCCTCTGTCAGCCTCGCAAGGTCTTTTTGGATCCCATTTTATGCCACGGTACAACATTTTCCCTGGCAACCATGCTGACTCCTGAAACATTTACTGCACACTGTGCCCTTGCTGCACAGGCACTGCTCTGGGCGCTGAGGCCAGACTCCATGCTTCTGCAGCATGGTCTACTGAGATAATGAGCAAGGGTGGTGGGTGTTCTCACAGAGATGGCTGTGGGTTGCATGAGCTCAACCCTCATGGGCACCAAGGAGACACACATAATACTCTACCGTCTCCCTCAGAAAAACAGAACACAGGTGACAGCAAGGGCTGTTCATGCAGGGAGAGCAGCGCTATTCTTTTTTAAGGAACCATTTGCCAAACTCTAATATGTACTTACACTTGTCATCTCTCTGCACCTTCATCTTTCCATCCACCATTTACTGAGCACCTACCGCATGCACCAGGCATTATACGTATCTGGAATATGCTGGTGAACAAACTGGAAATGGCCTCTACCCCCACGGTGCTTACAATCAAGTGGCAGAGACCAAGGTCCACGTCATGAATATTTATAGAACACCTACCACAATCACTTAAATAGACAAACTGTAGTAAGTGCTATGGAGCAAAAGTCAAGGGTGTAATGAGGGGTTATAACGGGGGAACAAGATTTAGATTGGAAGGTTGGAAAGGTTTTCTCCAAAGAAGTAACTATGAACCTAATAATTATAAGAGTAAGTATGAGTTGGGGGTAGCCGGGAAAGTGCTCCAGGGCAAGGATGTGCAAAGATCCTAAGGCTGGAGGGTACAGAGTGTGGCTGAAGGCGGGTGGGTGGTTAAGTGAGTGAGTGGGGAGGGCTGCCTGACATGAAGTCAGAGAAGGAGATGGGGCTAGATGAAGTAATAGTAATGAGTTTGGACTTTATCCTAAAGGCAGTGGGATACCACTGAAAGGCGTCATGAGAGGAGTGACATGATCAGATTTGAAGTTTTAAAAGACCGTCTGACTGCTACATTAGAAGAGGCTATAGGAAAGCAAAATTAGGAAAGAGACCAACTCTGGTCAGTTCTGGCCACTATCCCAGCAGGGACTGATAGTGTCTGGACTAGAATGACGATGAAACAGAGGACAGCAGACCAGCTCCTGAGATACCCAGGAGAAGCACCAAAGCTAAGGGTCAAAGTAAGGCAGAGGGAGGTTTCTGGCAGGAACACAGAAGTGAACGGAACTATCACTTACTGCAATGGGGAACACGAAAGCAACATGGGGACTCCAGGGAGATCAAGAGTTTAACCTTTAGAGTACTCACATTTACAAGAAGCCCTTTCTCTATCGCCAGTGAAGTCATGGGCAAACTTTGAAAGGAACTGGCCTGCAGAACTCTTCTTGATCCAGGATCGTCCCTGATGCTGATACTGATCCATTCCTGAGTGCCCTCTGGGTCTTTACCATTCTAACCCTGCAGTTCTCTTTCCTCCACTACATGAAGGGAGTATAATCAGAAACCTTCCCTGTGCCTGGGTTAAAATCCCTCAACATCCATCAATTCCATTTCCCTGATCTTCCAGCAACCTATCACAGGAAGTTACGAGAGCATATCGAAAGGGAGAGAGAAAGAATTCAAGACAGAGACCAGATTCGAACACAAATCCAACACAGCCTCACATGCTTTCACCCACTAGCTTCAGCTTTGCCATGTTTTCAACTACTTCACTTTCACCCATCAGCCCAGATTTTCTTTCAACACCTGTTCAAATGATGCAGCACCTGAATGTCATGGTGCTCTCTGTGCAAAACCGTGAAATATGGACACAGGATCTTTTCAATAATTAAACATGCTCTTTCTTCTACCAGGAAGGTTCCTATCCCTGTCCCGTTCTACAACCCTTTTGAAAGGCCACTACCTCAGGAGAGGTTTCTTTGATCTCCCAGATTAGATGCAAGGCCAGGCAGACACCCTCAGGCACCACACAACTCTCCTGTGAAGGACTTGTGCTTGGAACCGGATGTATGTGATTTTATTGATATCTGCCTTCCCCACATGATGCTTTATAAGCCCCATGATGGCCTGTCTGATTTTTATTCACCATTTTATCTGAACCCTAGCAAATAATAGACCTTAGTAACTACTGAAAGAATAAATTAAATGAGTGAAATGTATAATTCTGTGCTAAAGTAGGTAGCACCTTCCTAGCACTGACGAGCAGCTACAGTTACCAAAAGTTTAAAAACAAAATCTGTAGGAGAAAAGTTGGAAATTGAGGATGTTCTGATCATTAATTTTATAATTTCTTTAACCTGGGAGAAACACTGTCATTTTTAATTTTAGTACAGTGCTAATGTTTCCACTTAACAACATGTTCAATTGTGTTCTTTCTTCATAACCTAGATACTTGCCAAAGGATTACAAGTAGTTGTGAAGGGTGGTCACAATTTACAAAAAATGAAATTAAATTAAAGAATCTGCTTCATCTCAGTCACTGGTCCAAGCTTGGTCAAACAACAAGTAGTTGCAGTGGCTTCTGGTAGCTTGTTACATGTTATCAGGTCAGTGTCAGTGTTGGAGGGTCAAAGCTATTGAAAATGGTGCTGACGGAACAAGGAGTAGCAAACTGTCTCACTGAACTGCCCTGATCTGACTCACGGTAGGGACTCTACAAACATTTGCCGTGTGAATGAGTCGGCCATTTCATTTACTTTCCTGACAACTGCAATAAGCCGGTTTTAGAGCAATGTGTAGTCGCATGGGACTGTCAAAACCAAGCAAGTTGTGGCCCTCTTGCTGTCGCTGACAGCTCAGGGCAAACAACTGCAGCGCGCAGTCCTGGAGCTGCCCCGGTCGGCCGGGGATCCTGGACGCCCAATCACGGGGGCCTCAGTTTCCTGAAAAGCGGAGGCTTGGCTCTGACCCTCGGTCAACCAAAAGCTGTAAAAAGGACAGCCCGTGTCTAGCCCACTTAGGCCCCGCCCGGACCGAGGCCCGGAGACCAGCTCGCAAGCACGAGCTCCTGGCCCCGGGCCCGCCGCCCCGCACTCACCTGGCCCCGAGCCCTGCGGGTCCCTCAGCTGAGCCTTGAACCGCACGCCCGTGAGCTCCTCAGTGCGGGACCGTTTGGCTGCGCTCGTGGGGGACGCCGAGTCGCCCTGGCCGCTCGGGGCCTTCCTCTTGGAGACCCCCATGGCCGAGAGAGCGGAAGCGCAAGGGGAACCACACACCCGCTGGGACCTGGCAAGAACACGCCAGCAGATAGGACACACGCACCTAGGGTCCACCTGCCAGGGGCCCACACGCGGCCGGGAAAGGGCAGGGCTGATGGAAAAGGCGGGGCCTCTGTGTGGGAGATTGGCGGAAGAGGTGGAGGGAGGCCGGAACCGGAAGGGGCGGGGCCTTAGAAACGGGGAGGCGAAAAGCTGGGGTCAGGGCTTCTTCCGTGTGGCTTTGGGCCGGGTTGGCTTCTTCGCGGCTTGGGAAGAGTGGACACTCCACGACATCCCCGCCCAGCTGCGGTGGGCTGCGGTCCACCCGGGCGCACCTCCTGACTCCGGTGGCCCTCTTGGGGCCCCTGTTAAGAACTCCCAGACCCTTCGCTCCCGGCCTGACTGAACAGTGACGAGACGGGCTCGGCGCGTCGTTGCTGCACAATGAGTTCACTTCTCAAACTGAGGACGCCTCAACGGTGTCGCTTGAAGAACTTTCCTCAAACACAGTGGGATTCGATACTTTTACAATTTGAGGCCCAGTGCGTTGGCCAGGAGGGTGGATATCCCCTGGCTGGATGCCAGGCGGGCTTGTTCCTGTGGTGCCCCTCACCCTGACCCCCGACATGTCACAGCCTGAACCAGACCGGCTTGCCTGGTGGGGTGCCCCAGACCGACCTCCAGCCCAGGCTTCCCCAGACTTGCTCTTTGTGCCATGCAGGGTGGAAGGAGAGGACCAAATGAAATAAATATGAAAACCCTTTACGGACAGCGTAGGACCTCCACGTCTAAGTTCCTGTCATTCAAATAGAGACAGCACAGCCAGCCCTACCCAATCCTCGGGGCTGTTGTGAACAGCAAATGATGCAATGTATGAAAAACTGCTTTGACGGGAAAAAAAGTACAGCGTGTTTTCTAAGATGTTATTAATTGACTCCTGAGCCATATCAAATACTCAAATAAAATGGAGGTAAAAATGAGTTAGTAAAAACGGGCTGGCACATTTTTTAATGCAACTTCATCAATACTTGGGTATGTCTTCAAAATATGAATCAGTACATTAGATGAGAGATTTGGTGATTCCTGGAATTCTCCATCAGGTTGTCCTCTAGTCTGAGGAAATACTGCATTTTGTTCTGTAAGCAGATGTGTTTTGAGCATCTGAGGACGTGGGCTTTTGTGGTCTGTTGGGGTTCAGATTTTCTTGGTAGAAAAAGCACATTGTATTGACCCTGAACAAGACAGTTGTGCCTGGGGAAATGCCTATGTTGTAGGCAGGTCAGGCAGAGGAAATTGCCCCAACAGATTTGAGCTGATGCAGCAATATTAAGAGAAGGGGATGTGCTCAAAATTCAGGCTATAAACGGCAACACTCAGTAAAGGCAGACTTAATTTCAACTAATTGTCCACACTGGTCCTCTTCTCTGGTTAGT